GAGCGGTACTTCTTAACCATAGTGGATGACTGGAGCAGGCTAATGTGGGCGTATCCGCTGAAGCAGAAAGATCACGCCGCCTCCACGATTCGGGACGATTGGCTGCCGTTCGTGGAGAAGCAAGCGGAGTGTGTGGTGAAGCGGATTAGGACAGATCGGGGTGGTGAGTTCCTTGGAGCTGAGATGACGGCCTGGCTCAAGAAGCAGGGCATCCAGAGGGAGCTGACCACAGCTTACACCCCACAGTCCAACGGTGTAGCAGAACGGGCGAACCGGACAATTCTGGAGACAGCTAGGGCGCTGCTCATAGAATCTGGGCTGGGCAACTTGATGTGGCCCCATGCTGTTCGGCACGCTACCGTCGCTAGGAACAGGGTACTCACAAAGGTTGGGGATGACTCGTGGGTGCCGTTGGAGAGGTGGCTTGGGAGGAAGCCGCCGGTGGACATGCTGAGGGTGTTCGGTTGCATGGCAGTCGCCCACGTTCCCAAGACCTACCGCAGTAAGTTGGGGGCGAGTGCAATCTGGTGTGTGCATTTGGGGCTGGCTGCTGAGAGCAAGGGATGGCTGCTGTGGGAGCCTTCCAAGGGTGTGTTGTTTGACAGCAGGGATGTGAAGTTTGTTGAGGGCATGATGTATGGGAGCTGGGAGAAACAGCCGGAGGCCAGGGTGTCCCAGCAGATGGAGCAGATTACCATGCAGCTGGACCTGACTCCTAGTGTGTGGGAGGAGGGAGAGGAGGCAGCTGCAGAGGGTGGTGATAAAGAGAAGGTGCAGGAGGCACCTGCTGGTGGAGGTGATGGTGTGGAGATTAGCGGTAGCACTAGTGGAGCTGCTGGATCCGAGGGAGGAGAGCAGCAGCAGGGGAAAACTAAGAAGCCGAAGGGTGTTATTATGAAGGGATGGGAGACACCCGTCTCCAGGCCAGGACGTACCCGTATGGCTACTAAGAAGCTGAGTGCAGGAGCTGATGTAGCGGAGCAGCAGCTTGGGACCGAGGAGGCATTGCTGATTCTACCGCATGGCTATGACCCGGATGAGGAGGATCAACCTGCGTACTGTTTTCTTGCCCCTGCACCAGAGGAACCAGCTAGCATGGAGGAGGCATTAGCTGGACCAGATAGGGACAAATGGCTAGCTTCCAGGGATGCCGAGTACCAGAGCCTGCTGGAGAATGGGACTTGGGAACTAGTGGTGCTGCCTGAGGGAAAGAAAGCGGTACAATGCAAGTGGGTGCTAAGGATCAAGACTGACGACAAGGGGCAGGTCACCATCTACAAGAGTAGGTTGGTGGCTAAGGGGTTTATGCAGAAGGAGAAGCGGGACTTCAATGAGATCTTTGCTCCCACTGCCAAACCCCCTACCCTTCGTGTCTTGTTGGCAGATGCAGCCGTTAGTGGGAAGTTCATTATCCAGATGGACATATCAACGGCATTTCTCAACGGGATTTTAGAGGAGGAGGTGTTCATGACGCAGCCACCTGGGTATGAGGATGGTACGGGCAGGGTGTGCAAGCTGAAAAAGTCCATCTACGGCTTGAAGCAGGCGCCACGCTGCTGGTACCAGAAGTTGGCAGCTGTTTTAGAGGAGATGGGATTCAGGACCAGCAGCTGTGATGAGAGCCTCTTTCTCAAGGGGGAGGGGGAGAAGCTGGTGCTGTTTCTGGTCTATGTGGACGACATTCTTCTCTTTAGCAGCAGCATGAAGGAGATCCAGAAGGTGCAGCAGCAGCTGATGGAGAACTTCAAGTGCAAGAACCTTGGGGAGGTAAAGTACTACCTCGGGATGCACGTGGAGAGGGATCTGGATCACAGGTGGTTGAAGCTGCACCAGGAGAAGTTCATCAAGGAGCTTGGGGAGAAGTACGGAATTGAGAATGAGCGCAAGGTTGCAACTCCCCTGCCAGCAGAATTCAGGCTTGTGAAAGCTGCAGAGGATGAAGGGGTTGAAGCCGAGGAGCAGCACCAATTTCAGTCCTTGGTGGGCAGCCTCTTGTATGCAGCAGTTCACACGAGACCCGACATCTCTTTCTCGGTTGGGCAGCTGGCTAGGGTAGTGCAGAATCCATCAGAGGAGCAGGTGGATACAGCTGAGCGTGTGGTGAAGTATCTGAACTCTCACCCAAGCATTGGAGTTCAATACTCCGCATCTGCACAGGTGAAGCAGAAAGGGGTTGAGGTGCTGAAAGAGAAGGGGGAGAGGCTTGGAGAAGGCAAGCTTTTTCTCACTTGCTTTACTGATGCTACGTGGGCCTCTGAGAAGGAGGATTCCTCATCTGTGGGAGGATACATCTGCGTAGTTGGGGGAGGACCGGTTAGTTGGAGGTCAAAGAAGCAGACGGAGACAGCACTCTCTTCCGTGGAATCAGAGTACATGGCGATGTTCCATGGGGTGAAGGAGGTGATTTGGCTGAGGAGGCTGTTGGAGGAGATTGGCCAGGAGCAAAAGGTTGCTACGCCGCTGTTTTGTGATAGCAAGGGAGCTCTTGGGATGGCCAGGAACGCTGTGCTTCATGGGCTGAATAAGCACATGCGTATCAAGTGGCACTGGCTGCGTAAGGAGGTGAAGAGGGGGACGGTGAATCCGATCTACATCAAGACTCACCAGCAGCCAGCAGACTTCCTCACCAAGAGGCTTGCGGATGAGCCTCATTGGCGTTGTGTGCGCATGAGTGGAATGAGCATGAACTAGTATGTAATGATGGGGATGCAGCCGGCAGGCTGAGGGGGAGTGTGTTGGGTGCAAATTCACATTGCACGACATCCTGCCGTCTGTTTGTACGAGTATGCGTGTGCGAATGCATTTGCGTGTGAATGGTATGTTTGTGTGTTTGTTTGCTTTCGCAATTTTCGCTTGAAGCATTTGCAGGTACTCGCAAAATGTGCGCTTCGGCATAACATTGTACGCGCTATGAACAGTACAAGCAGAAAGGACGAGCTCGCAAAGGAACCCAAGATGGAAGCTTTGCGGTTCGGCTTACTTGATTGCGCAGATTCAGTTCTATCCAACTCGAAATTGTACTGTTTTGTTTGGTTGACTATAGTGTAGCAGGGCAGGCACTATAGGGGTACAATTTAGGTGAAGGTTGGATGTTGTTTGTCTGTATCTGCATGCTACAGGGCCAGGGGAAACCAGCGGAACCAGCATTTGGCTGGTTGGGCAAAGACAAAACAGGTTCTGTTTTTAGGACCTGAACCTGGTTGTTGTTTTCCCAGGTTGGAAAAACAGAACCAGAGGTTCACCAACCTATCACCTGCTATTTTGTCCAGCCAGGTTAGTTCTGTTGCTTGGAATTATTTGGGATCATCCCTGGTTGTTCCCAGGTTGATTCCCAAGGTCCTTGCTAGCTAGAGCTATTTATTTCTTCTCTGTTTGTACCTGAATATAGTAAAAATTGATTCAGGCGAATTCCTTCCTTGCTGGAATTTCGTTTTCTACGCGGTGCGACGGCGGAATGCTACCCGAGTCAACGCTAGTACGCTAGCACTCCAACGCTAGGCTAACGCTGTCCGAGCCATAACTTCGTAATGGCAGAACTTTTCGCGAGGCAACTTGGCTTATTTTAAAGCTCTTAGAGTGAGCTTCGATATAGGAAATTCTCAGCTTAATCCGATCGACGGTCTGCACGATACGCTGCGCAACGTTCAAGGTACTCTTGCTGTTTTGACTAAGTCCCTCTTGATCCCTCTCTCTACAAACTCGGACCCGAGGATAGGGGCTGGTCTTGTACCAGGCACCCAAGGACCCTTGGAGGTGACACTGAGGAGAGGTTTTAAGTGTGATAAAGTTTTAATAGCTTGAGTTTATTAGGCCCTTACACCAACAGACTCGTCTACCGAGATTTGATTCGTCTGAAATTCGGTGTGGCAGTCCTTTGCCGCGCTGTGCAGGTGGTCACCAAGTTTCAGAACGATCCAACATCTGAGCATTGCGTGACAGCTGCCGAAATTCACTGTTCCGTGGTTATGGTGCACTGTTGGCAGCATTTCCCTTGCCACCCTTTCATTGTTGTCATGCCAATGGTGCAGGGACAGAGAATGAGACAAGAAGTACAGTTGGTCAAGTGGGACTCTACAACCCTCCTTTTGAGAAGTGTGGTCTTCCTGGAAGCAGCTTGCAAGAGGGTGCAAGTGGGAAGACAAGCTGACTCATGTTGGCTTGACTCACAATTGGTAGCCTTGAGTACAGCTCTGAACATCCAAGTGTGGTTGGCTTTGCTGACCTAGCTAGGAGATTTCCCATTCTTCTCTAGCCTTTCTCCCCTAGGACTCAACCTTCTCTGAGTTCCCAGGATGACCCAACTCCTTATGAGTCCCCTAGGCAATGTTGTACTCACCTCTTCCTTGCATCAATGAAACTATACGTTTTCAGCCGAGCTTACGTTTTCGTTCACTGCGTACTGCACACACCTCTGATAATAGCAAATAATATACCGTTGGAAAGCAGACACCTAAGGCTAACCGCTGTCGAAGTTTCAGCTTCATATAAGTTTGGAGCTGATCGTGACGGCGTTTTGAACAGAGGCGGTTTGAAGACGTCAGATTCTGCTTAGGGGGTTTCATGGGCATCCGCGACCTCTAAGTGGACTGCAGACCATAACACCAAGAGGGTTGCCAGCCTCAGGCGATTCTTGAGGCGACTATAAACCATGCCACTAGATATGTGCCAGCCTCAGCCTCAGTGTAGCTCTCATGCCACATGCACGTATGTACGTTTGTATGAAGGCAACCCTCTCATAGTGCAGAGAAACGCATACAAGGGGCGCACAGGCAGATCTACACCCTGTGAGGCATGTCTTCATACGTAACACACACACAACAAACATATAGCATCCACAGAGCACATGTGCATAGTACACATATAGCACATGCACAAAGCACGCACATAGCACATATGCATAGGACACACACAGAACGCACATAGCACACATATAGCACACACATAGCACAAACATACCACACATGGTGTACACACATAGCACAAACCCCCACACGCACAGGCTAAGGACTTGGGCCGAGAGGTCGCAGACAACGCCCGTCGAGCTGTCCACCGCGGGGGCGTTGCCCGCCAGCTTGTAGGGTGAGTCTACCGCCCAGCTGCTCGCACTCACGCCCAGCCCCGCCCTCAGTGCCAACAGCGCCAGCACTGTGGAGAAGGGGGGGGGGGGGGGGGGGGGGAAGGGGCAATGGGGGAGGAGCACAAGAGGGAGGGGAAAACGGGAAGGAGAAAATCAGGGGAAGGGGGAGGAGCAGGAGGTAGGAGCACGAGGGGAAAGAGAGGATCAGTGCGAAGAGTAGAAGGTGGGATGGGAAGGAGCAGGAGGATGGATGGTAGAGGCGAGGGAGAGAGTGAGGGTAAAGTGCGCCAGGCACTGGGCGTGGGTAGGTAGAGAACATATCTTGAGGAAAGGCACAAGAGGGCTGGTTGGGTTGAGCACTGATTGAGGTGTGAGTGGAAAGGAGACATTCAACATGAGTTAAAGCTGTCAAACAACGAGGAGAAGGCCAGTCAGAGTATGAATCCTTACAAGCTTATGCTGCTGCTGATGTAGCAGCAAAAATTGGTACTTTCGAATCAATGGCACTCACTAGTTATCACCCACAACATTGGCCTCAATTTTAGAGGTGCTAAGAAACTTGTGGGCCACTCACCAGAGTTGTCATCCACTAGAACGGCCTGGCAAAACATTGCTGGGAGGGCGGCAGCAGGGTTGTTGATGGTGCCAGCGGCGAGGCGAGCAGCGACATCGGGAGTGCAGGTGGTGCCAGCACAGAAAGGCGGGGCGCCCGTGGCGGAGCCACAAACGGCACAGCCGGAGGTGCGCTGAGCCACACCGGCATCGTTGGTGCAGGAGCCCAGCGAGGAGAGGCAGTTGCTGCAGATGTCGCACAGCTGGAAGGGCTACGTGGGGAAGGCACCCGCCAGGAGGTTGCTGGCGATGGCCAGCACCTGCAGCTGCGTGGCCATGGCTAGCAGCGTGCCCGTCAGGTAGTTCGCTGCCAGCCGACTGTGAGGTGGGGAGGAGGGGAGGGGAGAGCGGTGAAGGAGGAAGGGGAGGGGTGTTGAAGGCAATGAGGGCAATGGGTAATGGGCATGGGCAGGGGCATGCGCTTGGGCATGGGCATGGTTATGGTTATGGTTATGAACATGGGCATGGCCGTAGGCATAGGCACGAGCATGGGCGTAGGCTTGGGCTTGGGCATGGGTGTGGCTTGGGCATGTAGGCATGGGCATGAGCATGAGCATAGAATAAGCATGCGATTGGGGATAAGTATAGCGAAACAGACCGTTCTGTGAGTTTAGGCATGTCGACCAGAGTTGATGGAATGCTGTCAAAGAGGTAGTTGGAGTTGAGGTTCTTGGAAAAAGATCAGGCACGCGAATGAGAAGCAGATGAGAACAAGAGAAGCACATGAGAAGCGCACGTTGAAGTGAGTGATGAGTACCCATAATGCGCTGTGGTGGGTCATCTCAGCACATGCTCCCTCTTCTCTGCTAGTAGGTGATTCAACGGTAGGTGATGTGCCGATCTATTGAGTAAAGACCGAGGGGGGACAGGTCTCTGTGTTCTCTAGTACCCTGACACTCTCAGAGAGGTCATGCTGGTGAGACTTCTGGGAGTCGTCAAAGGTCTCACAGAGTAGCCATGCTGGTGAGCGGCAGCAAGTTGGAGACGAGCTTGGAGAGCTGACCAAAGAATATATTGTATGACAGATCGCTGCGAATGGGTGTGGGAGAGGAGGAGCACTAAGGAGCAGGGTTGGGACAGAGGCTGGGAAGGTAAGAGTTGGTTGAAATAGAATCAGGTGTGCATACTTAAAGACGACAATAGCATTCTTCTGAAAGTGAGAACATGCATGAAGAAAACACCCCACGTTGCGTGGGGTTGAGGTTCAGGGTTGGGACGTACAGGTAGGAGAGGGCATTGAGCTTGGAGATGTCGGCATGGATGATGCCCCTCAGCTCCTTGTTGGGTAACGTGCTGCAATTGGATAGCGGGAGCAGGGGGCATGTGGATAGCAGGAGGCATGGGATTAGTAGGACAATGCACATACTCAATGCAGTGCCACTTAAACAAGAGTTAGCAGGGGTCCAAGAGAGCCTCACATGTTGAGGACGGTGCCATTGGCAATGCACCACACACCCGGCCACGTCTTGAAATTGGCGGTCTGCCCCTCAATGTTGCACTTGCTGCCGTTGCGCCAGTTTGTGTCTCTGACCCCGAGAGCCGCCCCTAAACTCAACAGCGCTGACACTGCCGGTGGGAGTGCACGTGGAGGGGCGAGGGGGAGAGGTTGCTGAGTGGGTACATGCAGGGCTGCATCGTGGTGCATGGGCTTCCAGCAAGGGAGGGTGGTTGGTGGTGTCATGTTGCAATGGTATTGATGGCGGCACTTCAGAAGAAAAGGAAGCATGCATGGAGGGATGGAGGGAAGGAACCCACATATCGTGTCAAAAAGAGAAGACAATCACGCGAAGTGAAATCAAGGATCACGGCAGGCAGTGCATGTGAAGGCAAGTCAGAGGGGTTTGGGAAGACAAGGTCCAGGGACACTCATGTGGCACAAGAGACGGGAGGGAAGGGGCTCACCAGAGGTTGCATCAAGGGGCACGGCAGCAGATGCCATCGTGAGTGTGGGAGCAGCAGCACTGTTGGGAACCTTGGCGACGGAAGGAGAGACGATGGGCCTGCAGGTGCCTCATCCACACAGCACTTGTGACTTCATTGGTGAGCCACACATGCTGCACTCTGCTGCTGGCCTGTGTGCCGTTCCTTCCATGCTAAAGCAGCCTAAGGAGTTGGAAAAGCAGTTGAGACGAGTGTTGCACGCTAGTGCAGTGGTGGGGAAAGTGCCTGAGAGGAAGTTGGCTTGCGTGTCGAGAACCTTGAGGGTGGCACCGGGCTTGGGCAGAGAGCCTGGCAGATAGTTGTAGCTGAAGCGACTGGTGGTTGTGATGAGTGGGGGAGAGGGGGAAGAGGAGGAAGAGAGGGAAGAGGGGGATGAGAAGGAAAAGGGGGGAGAGAGGGGAGAGAGGGTAGAGAGGGGGAGAATGAAAAGGGACGGATGAGAAAGGAGTGGGGACAAAGTGAGGATGGGAGTATGGAGAGATGAAAAGGAATGGTGGATTAGGGAATGTAGAGGTGGATTGCGATGTGAAATGGTTTACGGCCTTTGTTACAGGCTTTCGAAAGTGTGGTCATGCGAAATATTCACGTTATCCTGTTAGAGTTGTCAAAAACCTCTTGTAAAGAGGTCAAGGGACAGGGAGTTTAAGCGCGGGTTGTTACAGATTGGAGAGGGCGGCCATGACTACGAGCTTGGATGGCACAGAGCCGTAGAGCCAGTTGAAGCTCACCGCCCTAGTGGGACACGTACAGGCATGCGCACATGCAGAGACGCATTTGTGGTGCATGCATGCACATGTACACACACACAATGCACACGCGCACACACAAGTACACATGCACACAAGAACACAAACAACGCAAACATGTGCCAAAGGGACAAGAGTAATTAGGAGGAAGAAAGGGAGATGACGAGTAAAGCATGAGACGGTGAGAAAGAAAGACTAGTGTCGAGCAACTGAGCAAGGCAAAGCCCAACAACACAGCAAGAGGAGCGCTGGTGAAGAGAATTGTTTGAGAAGGTTCTAGGTCCTTCAATCGGTGGGCTGTCCAAGACATGTAGGGGCTGGCTGTGTAGCAAGTGTCGAACTTGCATCAATGATCCTACACAGGACTGTCCGGGTCACATCAGCAGCGTTTTGTACCGGACAGAAAAACTACCAAACGGCCCGACAAATATCAACAGGAGTTGTGTGTTGGCCCCGTCGACCTGCACGGGAGCCACTGCATTGGGCGTCGACTTCAGAATGGCGCCGACTTCCAGGAGGTCGACCTGGGAAGTCGACCTGCGGAGGACGTCAACTTGGTGACGTCAACTTGGGGCATCCGACTTATGTGGTCGGCTGACAGGACTGCCAGTCGACCTAGTGGTTAGTCGACTAGGCCTGCTGGTCAACTTGCTGGTGGTCGACCTGACCTGGTGGTCGACGGAGGAGGGGTCGATGTCGACCTCGACTCAGGATGCCGAGCAGCAGGGCGTCGAGTAGCAAGGCGTCCACATGGTGATGCCGACTTCGGGTAGCCGACCTGGGTGGTCGGCTAACAGGAGCGCTGGTCGACATGGAGCTGGTCAACCAGGAGTGCTGGTCGACGTGGAGCTGGTCGGCCAGGAGTGACGTCGACTTGGAGCTGGTCGACCGGTGGTATGGTCGACCTGGTGAGGTCGACTTGAGGTGGTCGTCGACTTGGGAGGTCAATGGGCACATATGGGAGCAGCTGGTCGACATGGTTGCCCGGTCGACTAGGTTACCTGGGTGACGAGGTTCTGCGGAGGAGTGCGCAGTCGCCCAGGCGAGGTTGGCGAGTCCGGCCTCGGTGGTGGTATCCCGAGGTTGACATGGCTGATCAGATGCAGTCGTCAGCGCCAAGTTGACTTGGTGTGTGCGTTGTGCAGGTGACGAGGCTCAGCGCGCCAATCATCTGCGAGCACCTGCGAAGCTGGTGCAATGCTGTACTGCGGGAGCAATGCTGGCATGTCGTCGACCTGCAGCATTGGCATGCCGTCGACTTTGCACTGCTGGAGCACGGTTGACCAAGTCGTACTGGAATGCGGTCGACCGTACTGCGCTGGCAGTCGACCGACCTGAATGCTAGCCTTGATGTAGTCTTGCCATGCCAACTTCATTGTACCATTCTTGTCAACTTTCTCTAGTGAAACTCTTGCCAACTTGCCCCGTGAACTAGCAAGCAGTGTGTGCACTAGGAAAACGACTAAGGACCAACAAACACAGAGATCATATGAGCACCCATGCCTAGCCCGTAGTCCAGCTCCCATTGTAGTAGTTATCTCCGCATGGTGCGGTGAGCGTGGAAGGCACACGACTTACCTTTTAGTCACGTCAATGTAGAGGTCACTTACCTAAGTTGTTCGTAGGCCGGCAGCTGTGCAGTCACTAGCGTGCGCATAGGTGACGCCAAAGGAATGGAGACCCTGGAAGCACAGCTGGAGGACGCGAGGACACGCCATGGGGTCCACGAATACGGAATGATCCCCTGGGCGGTTGTGGAGGCTAGCATTCGCACCATGTGGGCGATGTTGCACCCTTCACGACCTACGTCTCCTCGACCGGCGAACTCAGAGGGCGGCGTCGACGTGGGCGTCAACGCTGGTGGTGACCAGGTCGGCAGTAGTGCGGGAGGCACGTCGAGGCAGAGAGGTGTGATGCACGCCGATGAAGTCGGCGGCGTTCAGGCGCAGGGAGTGCGGCCGTCGGTGGCTGCAGGCTCCTCGCATGGCAACGTCGGAGGTCGACGAAGCGGGTTGTCGCCGATGTCGTCGACCCAGCTGACGGCGGGTAGGATTTCTCTGAGCTACGGCTACTTCAAGTTCACGCCGGACAGGATCCTGGTCATCACACTGCTCACTGGTCGACCCGACATCCTCACCTGGAAGGAAGCTATTGAGCCCCAGTTGGAGATGGCTGGGCTGATCGGCTTCGCCCGCGGAACCATGGCGACCCCGGACGACCCCGACCTGCGTGCAGAGTTTCGCGTCGTTCAGCTATTGACCTTCACGGTTATCTCGCGGTGCTGCTCGCCGGGCGTGCAGATCGACGTGAAGTGGTGCCGAGAGTACCTCGACGCCGGCCACCAGGCTTGGCACTTCATCGAGTTTACCTACTAGGTCATCGATGACTTGTTCATCGCCCAGCTGGAGGGGCAGCTGATGCACCTGCGTATGGGCGACGAGGAGACGGCGACTGTGAAACAAGTGAACAGGAATGAATGAACTAGCAGTGAAATGAGTACAAGTAGGAAACCCTAGAATTGTGTACCCCCAATAGGCTAACCCACTGTAGCCTACACAAGCATAACATATATAATGTTTGACACACCCCCATAGGCAAAGAGGGGGAGAACAAGGGGTCACAAGACCAGTCAAGCAAAGCAAAGCAAAGCAAGCTCAGGGTGGATCACAAAGTCACCACACAGTCCGAGCACAAGAGCAGGGCCAGAGGCCAGTTCACATGCAGGAGTACAGACATATATATAAAACTAGACAAGCAAGAGCAGGTATATATATATGTCACAGTACAAGTGAAGTCAAGAGGAGAGCAAGTGAGGCAAGACAGGTACAAGACCCAGCTGGGTGCAAAAGCGCTAATGGTCACAAGGCGCGAGTGCCTTGGTGAACACATCAGCAGTGTTGGCCTCAGAGGCCACGTACGCAAGTCGCAACTGACCACGCTGCTGCAGCTCACGAGCAAGGAAGTTGCGAAGAGCAATGTGCTTCGTTCTGTGCTCCAAGCGCTGCTCTCGACACAAGGCCAGCATGGCCTTGTTGTCTACGTACAGCACTGGAGGAGAACGAGGCGGCTCTCCAAGGTCAGTCAGCAGGTAGGTGAGCCAGCGAAGCTCCTGTGCAGCCATGGCCCCGGCGTAGATCTCAGCCTCACAGCTGGAGCCGAGAACCGAAGACGAGCGAGTAGACCGCCACGAGACAGAGCCGGAACCAAGGCTGAAGGTGTAACCCTGTGACGACCGCTGCGTAGCCTGGTCGTCAGCCCAAGAAGCGTCCGCGTGGCCGGTAAGGACCACTGGACTCCGCCCTCCAAGCACTAGCCCCATGCCCGACGTACTGCACAGGTAGCGCAATACCCTCTTCGCTGCAGCCATGTGCTCCAGTCTGTGTCTCCCAGGAGCAACATAGCGTGCAAGAATGCTCAGAGGGTATGCAAGGTCAGGTCGTGTGCAGGTCATCAGGTACATGAGGCAGCCAACAAGCTCTGCATACGGACCACTCGACTCTACGGACTCATCCGAAGGCAGAGCTGAGAGTGAGTGGCGAGTAGGCAGAGGAGTGGCCTGAGGCGAGGAGTACGTGAAGCCGAAGCGCTGAAGGACCTGCTGCACCATGTGTGACTGAGTCAAGGTAATGGTGCGGCGTGCTCTGTCCCGAGTGATCTGCAAGCCAAGGTAGCTGCGCAGTTCACCCAGGTCTGTGCACGTGTGTCTCTTCAGCAGCTCAGACTTCACGTAGGCGAGTCCAGTAGTGTCCGCTGTGGCAAAGACCAAGTCGTCGACGTACACGAGGATGTAGAACGGCGGCAGGGAAGTGTCGGTGCGAAGAAACAGCGACGGGTCAGCAGTAGAAGGAGCAAACCCAGGAGCCGCAAGCGTAGTCCTCAGTGTGTCGTGCCACTCACGCGGTGCCTGGCGGAGACCGTAGACTGGCCGTCGGAGGCTCCACTGGGTGCCAGGAGGGAAAGTCCCAGTGAAGCCAGGTGGACGGCGAAGCCAGATCTCCTCGTGCAGGCTACCCTGCAAGAACGCAGTGCTGAAGTCGAGAGAGTGAAGCTCGTAGTCGCGCTGAGCGGCTATGTGCAGCAGCACCCAAAGAGTAGTCATCTTCGGGGTGGGAGAGAAGGTCTGAAAGTAGTCAACTCCCTGCCGCTGACTCAAGCCACGAGCAACGTACCGTGCCTTGAAGACAGGTGGAGAGCCCGGCGGCCGCTTCACCCTGAAGATCCACATGCCACTGACGATGTTCGCCCCAGGAGGGGGAACCGCGTCAACGTAGGTGCCTGTGGACTTCCAGGAAGCCATCTCTGCATCCATAGCTGCCTGCCACTGAGAGGAGTAGGGACCCTCTACGGCCTCCGCGTAAGAACGTGGAGTCGGGATGTCTAGTGCATCCGGGTCTCCCTCAGGGGCAAGCAGTACAGACGCGAGATGAGGTGAAGCAGCCGCTAGACACTGTAACTCCTCCTGCCTGTCCTCTAGGACGTCCGTGCCAAGAGCACACTCACCCCCGACGGACGGAGGACAGACAGACGCAGACTCAGCAACAAGACTAGCAGCGTAGTCGAGACGACAGCGAGCAGCAAAGTCGACGAGCTCAGCGACTAGAGCAGACGCAGCAGTGGACTCAAAAGAGGGGTCAGTGACGACAGTAGCAAGCAGACGCGTGACAGTAGGACTGGCAGCACGAAGAGAGTCCGACTCAGGGTCGGCAAGCGCAGGAAGAGAGGACTCAGGAGGAGAAGGCAAAGGGGCACGCAGAGGAGCAGTGGACGGACGCAAAGACATCCGGTGCGTGCCAGGGACAGGAGGAGGACGCTGACGCAAACTGCGACCACTAGCGCGAGCAGCACGAACAGGCGACGCGGGACGAGACGCAGGCTCACGACGCTCAGCAAGACCTCCAGTAGGACCAGTGTAAGGAGAGGGAGCAGGCAGTGGAGAGGAAGGCTCCAGCAGGGACTGCGACTGGACAGGCGGTGGACCCTCTACTAGAGGAGAAAGACCAAGAACCTG